AATTTTAGTTTGGTTTTTGCTCTCCAGACGCCACTATCCAATTTGTATCTAGAATTACTCGGTGATTCCGAAAATCGAGTTAATTTTTTTCCATATATACGTTTTCGAGATGTTTGTAATTTACCGTTATTCAGCATAAAACAAAAGGTGGTTCCATTTAATCACGTATATCTTACAAACCAATATAATAATCTTAAATGAAGATAAGTCGAATCAAAGTCAATAAAATTCTCCATAAACCATATATACATCACTTTCCGATAGGACTGATAGTTTCGGACAAATTATTAATCATTCCAGTTTTTTTTTATTGTTAATGAAAAAAAAATCAAACTTTAACAGAAGAAAAATTTAAAAAATAATAGGTTCNATTGTTAATGAAAAAAAAAATCAAACTTTAACAGAAGAAAAATTTAAAAAATAATAGGTTCTGTGCCAAATTTTTGTATTTGTACTAAAGCCTGTTACAAAAAAAAAAAAATAAGTTACTGTTGAAGAAAATCGATGGATAAATAAGAACTATTGAGAGGTCAAATGAATATGCGCAAAGATTTTTTGTATGAAATATGAGTAGAAAAGCGTGTTACTCAGGTGTACGTTGCGTATAAGTAACTTTCTTACCTGCTCATTTTTCATTCAAAAAAATCTGCGTATTTTCATTCGACCACTCATTATTTCTTATTTATCCATCGATTTTCTTCATTAGTAATTTGATTTTTTTCTTTTTTTTGTAACAGAACAGGCTTTAGCACAAATCCAAAAATTTGGCACAGAACCTGTTATTTTTAAAATTTTCCTTCTGTTAAAATTTAATTTTTTTTTATTAAAATAAATTAAATTAAAACAATTAATCATTCCATAATTGTTCAGAAACTATAAGCTCTATCGGAAAGTGATGTATATACGATTTATGGAAAATTTCATTTGCCGTACTTTATTTATATTAATATTGTTAAATTGGTTCGTAAGATATACATGACTAAAAGGATCAAATTTTTGCTTTTAGCTGAATAACGGTAAATTGAAAATATCTAGAAAACGTATCCATAGAAAAAAAAATTACTCGATTTTTGGAATCACCGAGCAATTCTACATAGGAATAGGATAGCGGCATCCATAGAACATTTTTGCAGTAAGCCTACACTGGTTAGAATTCAACTTCGCTCGGAAGTGAATTGCAGAACCTGCCTGATTAATATTTCTACACTTATATTTGAAAAAATCTGAACGCTCTTCTTTTACTAAGTATCCAAGCCATTCGTTCGCCAGTCATCTGATTGCCTCTTATTTCTACATTAGACATGTTTAACTTACCCGTATGACCGATGACCCGTATGGCCCGTAGGCCACTCCAGCGGCATTGCGCGGAAAGTTTTCCAATAACATTTTTCATCCATTAAAAAGGCGTTGAATTCTTTGTTTTTTTAAAAGCACTTTATTTTAAATTTCAAAGGAAAAAATTCACTTCCAACAACGAGCAAATCAAGATCGTTTTACGGTTTTTGCTTGGCTTTAGAAAATTAAGGAAGACCCCCAACGCTCGCGTTTCCTTAACCATCGATCGCATATACAATTCGCATGTTGAAAAACAATTTTTTTTAAAAATCTATCACAATTTTTTTGTTTTGTTTAAAAGTGATACACTAAACACTAATTTAGAGATATATTAAAACGATAATCGTCGACCCGACTTTGTTTCACATACATATCGCTCATTTACTTAGACAATACAAAAATTAAAATTACCGCTACCTCTTCTATGCTGGTTGAAAATTGCATAGCTATGGGAGAATATGTATATAAATTCAAAACTTTGAAGTCGTTTATCTCGAGTTTTGCTCTTTTGAGTTATGACACTTTCGAAGTAAATGAGCGATATGTCCATACGAATATGTGAGAGTGTATAAAAACTAATTATTCGTACACATATTATTAAACATTAAAATAATTAAGCTATAGAAAAAATGTTTATGTATGTATATATGTATATATTTTACACAATCGCCAAATATACGCTTAAGCTCACATAATTTCCTTCTCTTATCACTTACAAACTAGCTTCATAATTACTTTTATTTTATGTATAGTTGTATAAAATATATTGTAAATATTTATTAAAAATATTCCTTAAACGGACGGACTAACTTAATAACTAGTACGCCAGTACAAGAAAATCCTGTATGTATATGTTAATTAATTGTTCGAGTTAATCATTCGATTTTTAAGGCTATTTATGCAAATTTAAAGATTTGTATGCAGTTTGTTTATATAGGGTGCCGCAAAGCATTGCGTTAATTACTTAAATAAATTGTCAATAATTGTTTTGTTTTTTTGTTGATAATACGTAAATTTAAATTTTTAGAATTTTTAATATCCACAGTCCTTTAAATTTTCAATTAACGATAATTTTCGAAGGCAACAATTTTTCAGTTATTATTTTAAATTCATAAATTCGCATAATACATATATGTATAAAATTTCGTTAAAACTGTTTTCTTAAATTTATATTCATTAGCGCCTTTGCAAGCACCCTGTTTTTTTTGTTAATTATTACCTTTACCAATGCAAATCCTTTCCTAACTAATTGAGCTTCTTTTATGGTTTTTGTTTATTTGTTTGTAATTAGGTTAGTATATGTTACTTGCTATTAGTTAATGTATGAGTTTCATAGAAAATTATTCGAGTTAGGTTGGAAAAGCAAACTATGGAGTATTAATGAATAAGCGACTTCTTTTTTTTTATTGAAAATTATGAGTAAAATGATGTGCACATTTTCCTGTTGGGAAGGATGGGCACACTGCAGGAAAGTTTAGCAAAATCATTTGATAGTCAAAAATTTAATTTGCATTAAAAAATTATAGAGGTGGCAAACCAACATTTGCATTTCAATAACATTTATTTTTAATGCAGAACAAAGTGCCAGTAAGCCTAGACGAGCAGAACAAGTTGCAAAGCGTATAAAAAGACGTAAAACTCACAAAAAAGTTATAAAAGAAAGATGGTGTTCGATAATTTTTGAAGCATAAAATCCGAAGGAAAATACCGCTAAAACCTTGAAGACCCATGGGACAAAGTTCAAGCCTGCTAAGTCTATATTTCCTAACAATTCGTTTTAAAGGAAATTTTTGGTGAAACAATTCATTTAAATCCATTGCAATCAATTTATAGCATCATGCCAATTCGTTTAAAACAACAATTCGTTTTAAAGGAAATTTTTGGTGAAACAATTCATTTAAATCCATTGCAATCAATTTATAGCATCATGCCACAAAAATAGATAACTCTCACTTTTTAGCACTTAGCCACTATACAATCAAGCCGCTATTAAACACAATACGTTTCCTGCAGTGTAACGACCTTCAATGTGTAACCCATTCAATAGAATACAATTGTCTCAAGTGTTTGTTGTGCTTCAAATGGGCTTACGCGTGCCAGGCGGCGTATCAACTCAGTTGGGAATGTGTGTAGAAGAAAGAGAAAGCGACAAATAAAGCGAAATATGAATGCGTGTAGATGCAAAATGTAGTAATTCAGTCAAAGTATAAAAGTACAATTGTTAAGGTACTCGAAAAAGAATGAAGGTGATAAAATCTGTGTACGTGCATCATGAATGTCAAGACCAATCAAAAGTACATATGGGAGGAAATGTGCACGCACGCGCGCTTTGACGATAATAATGAAGATGATTGCGCGAAACATATACGGACGAAACAATCTAGCCAAGCACTCACTGAGCGAAGAGGGCAGAAAACCACAGTCTAGGCATACGATTTGCAACTAGCTTTCGTGTTTTCCTGCTTTCTATCTTGTACTACCGACTTAACATAGAAAAATACTTGACATCGTCGTCACCGCCGGCATATTGCTTTTGTTTGTAAACCGTTCAGTCTAATTACATTAATACTTGTTTGCTTTTGCAATATTATTAAGTTATTTGTATCTGCTATTTTTATCTTTATTTTACTGCATGTATTCGCATTTTGTGCGTATAGTTTTTTATTTTGTTATTTATTTCAGTTTCGCTAGGTAGTGTCGTCTGGCATGCAGTGACGAGGCGGCGAATATAAACTTCATAGCCAAGAGGAAGTTGTGTTTACTGGCTGCTGCCTTGAACTGCAGGCACTGACACTACTATAGCCTTTTTTTCTTTTATTTCGAGGAAGAAGCGATTTGAAATCTCATTAGAAAATGTAAATATAAATTGTACATACTTAGATATTTGATATGTTTATACGCAGGCGTAGAGGGCGCAGCCGGAAATGCTTTTGCGGTTAGAGAAAAATGTTAAGCGCAGTTCGCCGATATTCGCAGGAACGCGATTGTGGTAATTTACCGCAGTTGTGGGAATTTTTCTACAAATCCACCGACGTTAAGCGTCCCGCTAAATTCGCTTGCGTTAGTATACATTTAAAGTATTTATTACATTTTTCTCTTAGCAAAATACATGCTAACGCGGTCTCACTACTGACTTGCAATTACATTTGTACTTAGTTGTTATATTTTCTTGTAAAGTAAAAAAGCGGCTTACCGCTTGCTAAATCCACATTAACTAACTAAACTTATATATAAACTAAGCGACTAAGAAAATTTTTTAAAATTAAGACTCGCAAAAGCAGCAGCTATGCGCTCAGCGGGGAGGTAGTGAATACGTACGCTGTAAGGCGGCTTGCGGGCGCTAATTAAAAGGCGCCATACGCTTATAAAAATCACTCATTTTCATTTAAAGTGAAGTGAGCTCGTTCATACCGCACTTGCACATATCAGGCATATCTACTCCTCCTCCTGCTGGGCATAGCTCATGTCTGCATGCATTTAGACGGCTCAAGTTTACATACACCAATAGTATATTCCTGTTATGCANATTATACGCAGGCGTAGAGGGCGCAGCCGGAAATGCTTTTGCGGTTAGAGAAAAATGTTAAGCGCAGTTCGCCGATATTCGCAGGAACGCGATTGTGGTAATTTACCGCAGTTGTGGGAATTTTTCTACAANTTTATACGCAGGCGTAGAGGGCGCAGCCGGAAATGCTTTTGCGGTTAGAGAAAAATGTTAAGCGCAGTTAGCTGATATTCACAGGAACGCGATTGTGGTAATTTACCGCAGTTGTGGGAATTTTTCTACAAATCCACCGACGTTAAGCGTCCCGCTAAATTCGCTTGCGTTAGTATACATTTAAAGTATTTATTACATTTTTCTCTTAGCAAAATACATGCTAACGCGGTCTCACTACTGACTTGCAATTACATTTGTACTTAGTTGTTATATTTTCTTGTAAAGTAAAAAAGCGGCTTACCGCTTGCTAAATCCACATTAACTAACTAAACTTATATATAAACTAAGCGACTAAGAAAATTTTTTAAAATTAAGACTCGCAAAAGCAGCAGCTATGCGCTCAGCGGGGAGGTAGTGAATACGTACGCTGTAAGGCGGCTTGCAGGCGCTAATTAAAAGGCGCCATACGCTTATAAAAATCACTCATTTTCATTTAAAGTGAAGTGAGCTCGTTCATACCGCACTTGCACATATCAGGCATATCTACTCCTCCTCCTGCTGGGCATAGCTCATGTCTGCATGCATTTAGACGGCTCAAGTTTACATACACCAATAGTATATTCCTGTTATGCATAAACCTCTTTCGTTTTATTGTAATTTTGCCTAAACTAAAAAAAGCTCACACACACACACATTCTTGCAACACTTTCAGCGCTTGACACTTCACTTTTCACACATACATACTGCATATATGCGCATGCTTTCAACAAAATTTGCTTAAAAAATAAAAAAGTTATTAAACATAACTAACCTATAAAAAAATTCCACTAGTTATTTTTTTATAAATGCAACGCAATGCTTTGCAATGCATTGCAAGTAAACTATACATTATATATATGTGCGTTTAACCTTCGTTAACGTGGACGTCTTGCAGGGTATTTCTTTTTCTAGATTCTCTGTTGAATTTTTGCATTCATGACTGCGATCCTTCTCTAAGTCGAGATTGGGTTTTTTCTGACTGCAAAAATGGTTCGGATTCATTAGTAGATTAATATCTTTGCCGGTATTGTGATGCTTTACGCCGAATTGTCTTAAAGTAGAGATATGAAAAAAGAGCGTTAGGTTAGAGAACTACGAGGCTTGAAATATTGAGTAAAATTTTAGGAAAACTTACGAATTCGAGGTGAATTGATTGCGATGGCTTGCGTGCAGCGATGCGGTTTTACAAATGCGCTTTGAGGTGTAATGACCAACGATAATGCCCACAACGAAGGCGATGAGAGCGAGCGCCCAATATAAACTTTTGCCGGCTACCTTGAGTTTCTTCTCATTTAAGCTGGCTTGAGATTGTAAAGGATCTAAAAACAAAAAAAAAACATTTATTTCAGGTTATGAATAGCCGAAATTAAGCTGACTCAAAAGGAATAACTGCATTGCATTATCCATAGAAAAGAAAGATACAAATATCGCATGCGACTTTTTATCATAATTTGCTGAAATTGTAGCCACTGAGAATTTTCAATTATTTTTTTGCCACTCACCACTCAACGTATTCATCAGTTCATCGGGGTCCACCGAATGCAGCGTTATTTTATTCTCATCGCTGAAGCTGTTCAACAAATAATCATTGCCTGCGCCTGTGCTAGCATCCAAATCGCCACCACTGCCAATGGGTACTTCTAATGTAGTAACACTACTTTCGGCTACCGCCGCAGCACCACCATCAGACGGAACGCTATTACCTGTACTCACTCCAACTTTGGTATAATGGAACTTCTTACTCATTTCCTCATCCGCTTGTGGCTGCTGTGCCGTTACTAAATCAATGCCTGCGCTTGCAATCACACCACCTGCAATATTCGGACCATCAGCCATGAGTGTGCCACGAGTATATTTTGGGCATAAAGAAGCTGCCGCTTTCTTAGTAGTATTCAGGCTCTGGAGAAACGCTTTGGTGCCGAATTTGATATTCTTTGCAACAAGTCTCTTGCACTCATGATTCTGCTGATCCCAAGCACAGTTCGGATCCTGTAGACTCAAACAGCCGAGACAGTCAACGATGTGGGCGCAATGATGTAGTGGCACAGTAACCAAACTGCCATCGCTAACCACCAATAGACGATTGGTTTTCGAAAATACAAGCAGCTCCCGCACTGCCAATCCCTGTGGCAAAACTTGCATTTCTGATATCAATACGGTTTTCAATTTGTCAACTCCAGCGCTGGAGCCTCCTGCCTGACTCGGTGTGGGTATATTAATGAATTTCGTTATGCGACCATCATCTGTGCCGGAATAGATCACATCATAGAATTCGCCATTGAGCGCCATAATGTGTGCATCGATTGCTATTGTGGTGAGTCGGTGATGCAGGTTGACTTTGGTGAGCAATGGGCGACTATAGACAGCGGGTACAGCAGTTTCCATTAGAGGGTGATTTTTAGCAAAATTCACTGCAATACTGGATAGCATTCGCGAATCTTCAACGCACTTGCCCGGACGCGGTTCAGGCACTTGTTCTTCTTGTATGGGTAGCCATTGTGATTGGCTGTCCTTTTGTGACTTGAAGGTGCCCTCAAAAGCATCCAAGATATCGTTCACATTGAAAGCGCATACTGCGGAGCCGGGTATAGCATTTACGGATGTTGTGAAAACAGCGTAGATGAGTGAATTGACGCCGCTTTCAACTATAGGAGAAATAGCCTCTGTTTCGGGAAATAGAGAAGAGAAAAGATATTGAGTATGAAGAAAATATGTAGTGAAAGTGTTCAGCATTATACTTACGAATTTCATCAAAGTAAAAAGGAAATTCTCCAGGTACTGAGCAATTTAGACGTGCTTTCAAAAATGATGTCCAACTCTTGGAGAGTGTGTAGGGACCGCCGCGATCGTTCTTACAAACGCGTGCAACTCGTGAGTAGATTGTCTGGTTGAAACAAAAAAAAAAAAAAGAATTTTAATTGAAATATTAATCGAGGAAGAGTGATAAGGGGTTTCCACATAATTATATCAACTTCCAAGAAGACAATTTATGACAATTTGATCTCCCCACAGGGTAGATAATCAACTCCCAGATATTTTCGAAAATTCTGTGTACAATTTTTAGCAATTTTTTCGGCCATTAATAACACATCAATATAAAAAGTGCAAAGAACGAGACTATGTAGTCAATCCTTACATATGTACATACATACATACATACATATATACAAATTTTGTGTCGTTGCAACCGAATCTAAGAACCGAAAAAAAAAAATTGCTCCTACTACTCCTGCTTGCTTACTAGTCTTAGATTTCCTACTATAAATGCATCAAGAAAGTAGGGTTTTTAGGCTAAAAGGAAACTTTTGAGTTCTGACTTTATACTCGGATTCAGCGACTGTAACTGTAAAAAAATAAAAACACGTTTAAGTAACTTTCTTTAGCCTAAATCATGGCTGTGATTAGCAAATTTAAAATGTCAAACCTAAAGAGTCCCAACCTCATATAGTACTAACCACAACTTCTGGCACGGTCACTAAGCCCACATTCCTCACAATCACTCACCTTGCCGAAATTCATGAACTCCATTGAAATTTCACGGAAGAAGAACATTATATAACGATCACGCTCCAGAGCACCCACGAAATCAGGCTGATTCAACTGTTTCAAATCATACTGCTCGGTGCGCAAATTCTCGCGATAAATCAATGGATCACTGCCCGAGAAGTCAGCCACTGTGGCGCTATAAAGTTGTCCCTCCGCAAAGGCGTAGGTGCTATTGTGTGCCGGACTATATGGGCAAAGCCCTTGCGCTTCGACATCGCGTACAATCTCATATCGTTGGCCGGAACCAGCGGCTGCGCTCAGTTCACTTGTGGCGGGCGCATAGTGGCGACAGCGCGGCTTGTACGAATTGGTGCCACACAACAAGAGCTGCGCATCATCGAGGCGTGCAAAAACGCGTATGTAGTTGTGGCAATCAGTCTCACGTTTACCCTTCAGTGCACATAGTTCGCGATCAGCATCAGAAGAGAACCATTCCAACCGGCTGATTTCTCGTAAACCATCCAAGCTTATGTTGTACATAATATCTCTGTAGGGTGATGCGAGAGGCAAGGGAAAAAGCGGCGACGTTAGGAAAACGTTATCGAGTTGAAATAGCTGGCATACTTACTTAGCGCCCACAAGTATGGTAGCATCGTCATAGGCCAATATTTTAAAGTAATCCGTGCTGTTGCCCAGGAACTTGGCAATGATTTTATCTTGCTCTACGCCGACAGAGAAGATACAGAAATGCAAATTACAAAATTAAATACATTTAAAATTGTCTAAAGAACGGAAATGTTAATCAACTGCACTAGCAGCAGCAAACTTACTCGGCTGCAAATCTGGGCGCACATCGGGCATCCAAGCGTGCACGGCATGCGGCAGCACTAGCACCAGCAGAGGCAGCAGGCATAACGTGCCGCAGCTAATTAGCGTTTGAACGGCGAATACGCTTTTAGTTGTACATTTTTGCAGTTGCTTTTGCATTGTAATAATTATAATTATTGTTATTTGTATGAATTTTGCGCTGGTCTGCGCTGTTGTTGCACTCCTAGTGGTTTTAATTGCTTATTATTTCTGGCACACAAAATATCTATTACTGTAAAGCCAAGTATGTAGTTAGTTAATTGTTGCGCTTAAATTTCCACTTCATATATTTATGTTTATAATAATTAATATGCGGCAGCTAAGGCGGCTGTTAAACCTTTTGCCAGCACTGCTTTTGAATGCGGCTATTTATGAATGCGAATTGACACATATTTTCCGGCAAAGTCATATCCACAAGAGCACAGCAAACTTTTTCGCGTTCGACTACAGCTAGCAAGGCAATCTAAATGGCAATTAAATGCACTCGGCCCTGTGTGCTGGCTGTTTGGGGCCTGTGTGGCAGGCGAGATCGCACGCTCACTCTGCTGTCTGGTAGGCGGCTGATACGCACTTGATTGTATGCTTCAAATGCTCTCACAGCAACACAGTGGAAATTAAATACCTGCAAGATAAAATGGAAAAAATTGCATTAACAAATAGTAGTACAATTAGGATTAGAATTAGGGCAAATTTAGCACTGTTGAATAACAATAGACCAACATGTCATATGTGTGTATGTGGAGCGTATGTACGTGTGGTTTTGAAAAGAAAATATGCGAGCGGAATGAGACGAGTGCATGTGTGCGGCAGCTAATCAGGACGACAAATTTGAGAAACGCTTTTCCATAGCAGTCAAGTAGTACAGGTATAAGTCGCCGATTCACAATCAACTTAGTCCTTTGAATGTCTTTTTTACCTTGCTAACTTCTCGCGCGCCTAGTTGCCACACACATATTGACACATTTCGCTGCAAATTGGAAAAATGTTGTGGAAAGCACGTACGGGTTTTCCATAATTTATATGTATGCATGTATGTATGTATACCTGGCGAGCTAACAGCTTGCCGCGCTGCATTCAGCAATAAAATGAAGCGTTTGTTTTGAGGAAAAACGTGACTAAAGCAGCGCCGACAAGCAGCGTGTGTAAATTTTCAAAATATGCGAAGAAGCACGCGATGCAAAGGACCCTAATAAAACAATAAACACAACTGCACAGCATTTAATATGGGTAAGGTTGTAAAATAAGAAAACCGAAAATTCAAGTCCCAATTGTTGCTAATTTCTCACACTTGTGTTGCTGATAATTAAGCAGATATGGAACAGGAATCGATGCACACTGCTAGCTGCACTAAAATGACAAATATGTCACACAGTCAGCCGCCCGGTGCGGTGGCTAAACAGCCAAGTTCGAGTGACGCGTCAGCGTTGGTGACAACAATAATCAGTTGAAGTTGGCTTTTCTTTGGCTTATGTATGTATATGTAAGTAACAGCATCTCTTTGGCTCCCCACAAGCAAAAGTCAACAAGAGAAACGCCTGTGTGTGCGCATATGCATACATTGTTATTGTTGAGATCAAACATGTTTACTTGGTGATTTGAATGATCCGAGTGTGAGAATTAGTTGGCAATATTTTCCGCTTTCCACAATGAAAACGCAATGTTATCTGATGATTAGAGGAATTTCGAAAAAAAAAAATTAAGCGGATGAATAGTAAGAGAAATCCACAGTGGGTAAAGTAGGCGATTAAGATATCTAATTGTAGTGTATCTTTATCATTTCAGCGGGGGTAGAAAACATTCCAATGGCGATGGAAAAGCTTTGCGAATTTGGTCATATGGACATTCATCCACCATACTATTGTTTTACCCGAGCGCACTTGTGCACTTTTCCACGCAATTTGATGTTCTTTCGAAAGACACTTTAAATGCAAGGTGTGACTGTTCATGCAACTGCTTTCTGAAATTTCTCAATTTTACAACCTTTTCGAAATATATTGCATAAGAAATATATTGCCACGTCTGATACGCTCTTAACTTTGTTCACATAACGGTTGTTTGTAACAGCCAAAACGAATCGAGATTGATATAGACAATTTTATACCTAAATGCTCAGAAAGAATAGAGAAGTCGACTAAGCCATAGTTGTGTTTTTTTACAAATTATCTAGTAACTTGCCAGCAACTCTCCAGTAATTTTATTTCTAAGAATTCGCTCTCATAGAAAAAATTTGCAATAAAGTACGCGAACGCTTTTCCAGTAATAATTTGCAAGTTTCATGAACAGCTGATAAATTGGTTGTTTATTCGCAGCAAATTCCCAATAAAACAATATATTTTGTATTTAAATAGGTTTATTTTGTAAAATTCAACAATAAAAACCCACAAACAGTTGCCTTATTAGTTTAAATTTCATCCAGCAACATGCGTTCAGCTGTTTTTCGTACTGGCAAATTCTTACAAGTAAAAATTTATCCACTAAAATCCAGTAAAAACTTGCAACTTCAACTGTCATTTTTCGCTCTCTCAATTTCCCCTACTTTGCAAGTTTTTGCGTACGAAAACGCCAAAACATGAAAATTTGTAAAAACTTTTACTGGATTTTACTGGAAATGAGTAAAAAAACGCAACTCATGTCTGTATCAGAAAACAGCATGAGTATACTCACTTCCATCTAAACAGTATGAACTCATTGCTGTGGACTCTATAAGGTTAGTGAGAAACACCGTACAAACAGTGAGATTCATAGTTAGTTTTGAAATCAATGTTTAGCTGCAGTGTACTCATTTGTTTTCAAATATGACATTGATATACTCTTTCCAAATCAAGTCAAGCGAGTGAAAAATGCTGTTATGAAAAGCAAGTCGAGCAATCGAATGACACCCATCGACTTCAAACAATTAGTAGAGAATACGACAATTTTGAAAAAAATTGATATTGATGAAGTATTTTTTTAAATATATTAGTTTTACCAGAGTTGTGAAAAATGCATTAATTTTTTAATGCATTAATGGTATTTAAAGCAATAATGTTAATGTAAAAAATTAATGCATTAATTTATGAAATTTAATGCAAATGAATATTTCAATGCATTGATTCTGAAAAATGTAATGCTAATGATTTTTTTTTTGTTTTTATTAAATTATCCAAGCTAATGCTAATGAAAAAATTTTAGTGCACTAAAATGTTTAATACTTTTGCTCGTTTGCATTATTAAAAACCATTAAATTGTTTTTCTAGTAAAATATAAATAACCTCTGTTGGAAGGACTTGGAATAACTACTAATAGTTTTTTCAGGTTCATTATATTATGTGTATTTGTAGAAAAAATCTTCTAAACATTCTTAGATGTTTTATGTATGAAATGTGCATGCAACGCAGAGTGCTTTTGTAGATGTTTATGTTGATTGTTGATGCATACCGATTACATATCGATGGCTGAGTGGAAGATCGACCTATCTCGGCAGCCAGTTCGAAAACATTCTATCTCAAAAAACTTTTCAAGAACGTCCTATTTCAAAATTCGTTTCAAAAACGCCCTATCTCAGCTGCCGATTCAAAAACGCCCTATGTCAGCATATTTTCAATACATTTTGAAGTGCGATAGGGCGTTTTTGAACCGAATTTTGAGAAAAGGTGTTTTTCAATAAAATTCTGAAATAGGGCGTTCTTGAAAAGTTTTTTGAGATAGAACGTTTTCGAACTGGCAGCCGAGATAGGTCGATCTTCCACTCAGCCATCGATATATTAAGTATGAGCCAAGAACGGACAGATAGCCAGTTTAGCAGCGCATGTACACGAATGAGGACCTACTCTGATCTAAATCAATTAATAAACCGTTTTTTAGCTCCTTTTGACAATGTGATTTTACCTATTTAACGACAAATGCCATTGAACTTGACATAGTGAAAACTAGTCTAACTGCCATACCTAAACAAAAGCGTCAGCGTTGTCTGGCTGTCAAAAAATTCTCATGCCCATACAATTTGTATGAAGCATACCGAAACAACGCGGCGTCAACGCTGAGCGGTTGGAAAACCCGATTTTGACAGGGCGTTAGGTATTGAAGTTGGCTGCAGAAAACGGCGAAACTGTCATTTTCGTGTTACACACAAACAAACCTATGCTTATTGCTGGTGTTATTTCTGCATTTGACGTAGCGCTGACGCTTTTGTTTAGGTATGGCACTTCGGCGTTAACGCTAGGCGTCAGAAACCGCTCCGCCCAATGCTTTTGTTTAGGTATAGCAGTTAACGTCCGTCACTATCTTTTTTGACCTTAAAATTCTACCCTTAACGTCAGCAAAGAATTTTTACTTTAAAATAAAGTTAGTTAATGGGTTTTTAATGCTTGTTATAATTTATTGCAATAGCATTCATTTAAACATTTTAATGTTAATACAAAAAAAAATCATTAGCATTATTTCTTCGGAATTAATGCATTGTAATTTTCATTTACATTAAATATCAAAAATTAATGCATTAATCTTTTTCATTTACATTAAAAAGTTTAATGCATTTTTCACAACTCGTGAGTTTTACTAAATTATTTAGTTAAACACCTGACGTACATTTATATAACTAGTCTACAAAAGAAATACAATGTTACCTCAGAAGACATCGGCTTTATAAGGGACTTGCAAAATAAGTTGCTTTATTAGTTAAAAACAGTTGCTGTTGAAAACTAACGGATTTGCACAAAATTGTGCTTTTTTTATACCCGCCAGCAAAAGAGCTCAAAAACTTTACCGAATCTAAGCAAAGGTACACAAAAGGGAAATGTTTACAAATTATGAGAACGTTAACTGAGAATTCCGACAGTACAACGGAACCACAAATTGCGGATACACCTTTGTTACTTTCAGACAACTTTGAGCTGTTTTCAGGTCTTCTTAAACAACCTACCTTTGTGAGCAGAACTGATAAAGCTACTGCAGAGCTGCGGCGATATGAAAATATTGAGGTATATTTTCATACGGACTTCGATATAATTAATTGGTGGGAGGTACACAAATGCGAAATGCCGGTGCTGCATAATCTCAGTCGTAGAGTAATAGCCCCTCCTTCAACTAGCGCATCGTCAGAAACAGTTTTTTCTTCTGCGGGAAATATTATTTCTGACAAAAGGTGTCACCTTTTGTCAAATGATCATGCTTCAGAAACAGTTTTTTCTTCTGCTGGAAATATTATTTCTGACAAAAGGTGCCACCTTTTGTCAAATTATCATGCCCTTAATCAGTTGATATTTTTGCATTATAATATGCAGTTAGGAAACCAATAAAATTAACAAAAATTGTCTTTACAAATGTTTTTTCTTTGATACTTTCATTACAGCAGTTATGCCATGCACTTGTTTTTCAAATCAAGCACTTGTTATTTGAACCGAGCACTTGATAGTGTGAATTACTCACTCAACCGACAATGTTTTTTCAATGCTATCGCACGTTATGTTTGGAAATAAATGAGTGCGGGTGTGTGCAGATGTGAAAAGAAAGCGAGTGACTTAAAATGTAATTTGAGGTATCCATGCAGCTCTCTGGTCTGTATGTCTGTTTCACTTAGAAAATTAGATTATTATAAATTTTTGGATAATAGGCGTGGCGCCGCCCTTTATGACCAATCTTTTA